CACCATCCGACACGCGCCCGACCATCTACGGCGTGTGCAACGAGCTAAGGGGCTCTCCTGTGACGGATTACGGAGAAGACCTCAATATTGGAGCACCCGTGACGGTGTTGGACTGTGGCACGTGTGCCATGGACGCCGAGTGCTTCGCTGCGAGGACGAGCAGCATCAGCGGCTGCGAGTGCGTGTGTGCTGCTGGCGGCTACGGTGACACGTGTGTGCCAGCTGCGGTTCCGGACGGCCTTGGGCCGCTTCCGCTCCCCGACGCGGACGACACGGAGGTCCGCTGTGTGCACGGTGGCAGCATAAGCCCCGTGGACTATCCTGATCCCGGTGTGCGTGGTCTGTGCTTTGTCAACGTGACCTTCACCGCCGCGATCGTGCTGGACCTGTCGCGTTTCGACGCACAACAAAAGACACTCAGCATCACGCTGTTGCAGTGCGTCCTCATGGGCCTGTCGGTCAGGGGGAGTGGTGCGCGCGTGCACGTGAACGTGACATCCTCGATGATGGATTCTGGTGCATTGAAGTTCAGGGGCGATTTTGGCGCGAGCTCCCAGATACTGGTGGCGGGCAGTACACTTGTGACGAAGTCGAGGCACGCCACTGCTTTTTGGGAATTTACTCTTGGTACAAACTCGACGCTGCTGTTGCTTGACAAATACATCGAGGCGAATATTTACGCACTTTCTTTTTCCGATAGTGTTGTTGATGGTGGCGGGATCATTATGAAGGGAAATACGCTGAGGGCAACGGGGAACGATGACGGTGTGGAATCAGCTGTTTATATTGAAACCTTTGATGTGGGGAACGGCGGCTACTTTGACGTCGAGAACAATACTATGAGCGGTGCCAATGGGATTTACCTTTTGGGGGGTACTACCGTAAACTCCGCAGGTCTGTTGCGAGTGGCGGACTGCTCTTTTGCTGGCAGCACGTTTCCTTTTGATTCTACGCTGATTTATTTGGATAGCTCAGTGACTCTCGAGGGAGGTGCGCAGTGGCGTGTGGAGGGCAACGAAGTGAGTGCGGCCTCAGTATTAATTATGCCAAAATCAGCGTACATAATTCAGGTGTCGGGCAGCGGCACCACCGTGGCGCTTGCACACAACCGTCAGGTGGACAATAGTTATCCCTTTGCTGATCTGCCTTTGTCGAAAACGGTTGTGGAGTCACCCGCGCGGTTTGTGGTTGGGTGCAACCTGCAGGGCGGTGAGGAGGTGTCGTGCGACGGCGTGTTTCCGGAGGACGTGGTGCTGTTTATTTGTGGCACATGCAACGACGACGCGGCGTGCTACGTGCCCGGGACGGAGTCGGTGGACCGCAGCTCGTGCTCGTGCAGCTGCAAGGAAGGATGGCATGGCGCGTCGGCTCGAGGCGTCATCCGGGAAGCGGTGCTCGATTTTAGCGGAACGGCCGGAAAATTGGGAAGCTGCTGGCGCAAATAGACATGTTGGGGTGTCTTTCCCGCTTCGCCCGCACCCTTTTTCGCCAATGGCATCCCTAACCTTTCCGGCGACCTGTGTGCCAATACCCTGCCGAGCGGGATGAGGGGAAAGAAAGAAAAAACGGAAGGCAACTCTCACAGAGCGGTGCGCAGGGAGGGAGAAAAAGTATTTTCAGCGCTCTCGGCGGCGTCGGCTTCCACGGTTCGTCGGAAACGGCGCCGCTCCCTGGCTCTCAATTCGTTCATATTTTGCATTTCCCGATACGCTCACTTTTCTCGTGTCTTTTCTTCCAAGTCAAATCCCCACGCAACAAACCATAAACTCAGGATAACAGCGTGCCGAGGACGCGGGCACCTCAATTTTCCACTTCCGAGGGTCGTTCGGATCCTTCGCGCCAGTTAGAAGCACACAGCGCTCCTCCGCGGAACGCTCGAGACCACGCGCGGGAGGACGAGCGCGCTGGGAAACGTCAACTCTTTTCTTTGGAAGGTCCGAAACTGTTCCCCGCTCATGCTCCACAACCGTTCCAAGTGACACGCGGAAAATCACGCCCCAATCGGGGGTGGCGGCGTGGCGACGGGGGTAATATTTGCCGTCTTCCCCCGATTCAAGCCATGGCGGTGCGAGGCGCAGCCGGTGCCTTTTGCACGGGAGACCTACGAGACAAATTCGCCACGCCTCCTCCTCGTCATGGCAGGTATGCCAAAGGAGCCGTTCGTTGACTTCACAATCGTCACTGCAGGGGTGGAAGGGTGCGTGCCTTTTAAGTGATGCGGGCATTGAAAAAAATCCGCCGCCGCGCTTTTGTACCATTTTTCGGCGACACTTCCAATAAACATCCCAAAGATGTAAATTACGGTTTAGAAACACGGTGGCGTTCGTCGGCAAATGCAAAAAAACGCGGCGGTCCACAACAAGCGAGACAGGGACAATGGTTTTGGGAGTTGCCCAATGTGCTGGGTAAGATACTTCTTTCGTAAACAAATAATTGCGTTCATCGCTATTGTAGTTGAATTCAAGGAATCGCCGAACAAAGGTTCGCGCGTCGATTAACGTCCAACGCGGCTCTACTTTTCCAATCAACCGATCCGCAACCTCTCGATATACGTTGGCAACATCCATGCATCGTGTATCCGTTAGGAGGCGCTCCTCCCGCCCACTCGCCACAGAAGGATTCCTGACGGGAGAAACAGCTGGTGATGCACGAAGAAGGTATGGAAGCACTTCCGCATGCAGTAAAGCGCCAAAATCAATGGTGTCGTCCAACAAGGATGCGGCACCTCGCACGCGATGACGAAGCGCATCTGAAAAAAAACCCAAGGTTGTATTTCCAAAGTCATCATACGTAAAATTGGACAGGGATATAGCACCATGCACCAACTGGCAGGAGTGGAGTTCAATGACGCACTGCAACGCATCATGCAACCAGCGAACTCCAATTCGCTTAATTCGTTTCGGGACATCATGTGTTGAACCAAATCGCAATTGGGTTCCCCCTCGCGGGATATGAAAATATATTTGACGTGTATAATCATCTGAAAAAACATCGGTGATGCATGTCACACGATGGGTAGCACAAAATTCTGGAATATGGAGCTCACGCTCCATAATACTTTTAAATAAAAATTCAGCGCTTCGTTGCGCTTCTAGCCCCTCCGCTTTTGGAAAGACATAACGCTTAAGCCAACACGGAGTAACTGTGCCCGTGATGGTGTCTACATACTGCGCGCGAAGTAAAGCAAATTCGACATCAGCAACTCCACTCTCACAGTCCAAAGGGACTTTTTGGTCTGCAGGTGGGCAGGAAGGGTCCATCGCATTCCGTGGTTCAACCTCAATATTTATATAATTCATAAGTGTTCGTTCTCGCTCATATTTCACATATCGAGCCATATGGAACTCCTCATGGATCGATTTCGCACATGATGAGGGCAGTTTTTTAAGATTGTCCGATTTTTCGGGAAAGTGCATGGTGTATATGTCGTGTAACTCCACTGTGGCAACATCCAACTCCCCAAAGAGATAATGTATAAGAAAAAGCTGCTTCATGTAATCGTCAAGCCGACTCTGAAGAATTTCTTGTTCCTCCACAGGGGCATTCTTGAGGGACGATTGCACATCATGTATTTCATTTAACAAAGACGTGACACTCTCCAGCTTTCTCTGACGTCCTTTGAAAAACTCCTCACATGTTTTCCACAGTGTATCCTCTACGCTTTTGGCGTGCGCCCCAGCCAAGGCGCAGCTTGCTGTGCGTCCGAGTGCCTGCACTTCTTCAATAAACAAAGGATTGAGTGATTCGTCAGCGGTGGCATCGGTATTCTTCCAAGACTGCGTGCTATTTTCCATCAGATCCTGCAAGGCTCTCTGAATGTTTAACAGAGTATCGAGTGTTTGCCCTGTGCCGTCAGAAATCGGCATATCACCAGCAGTCCCGTTGGTGGCGTTGCTTTTGTTGTTATATCTGTTGCCACCGCCACCAGCAGCACCGTTACTCTGTTTGAAGAAACTCTCCGCCAGACTTTGGGCCGTTTTCCACAATTCAAGCGTCCCCAATAACTCGGAAGAGACGCATGGGGGAAAGCAGCGGGACACAATCGCTTCCCTTCGCTCCTCACGCCTTAAAACTGCTTCCGCCCTCGTGCGCCACGTAATTCCACAGCAAGCGTGTTCTTTGGATGAACCCAGGTCGCCACTCTCGACTTGAATGTCATCCTTGGTCACCGTGACAAATGCCTGTAGTCGGTTAAATAGAAATATATCTCGTTCAAGCTCTGACCACTCCTTTTCCTCTTTATACAGTTTAACCAGGCCAGCAAATGTAATTGCCTCCGTGGCAAGTTGATAGCAACGATGAATAGAGGCCAACACGCGAGAAACACTCCGTTGTTTTACGGAGGCGCTCGTACCAAAAACGGGTCGCTCACATATTCCCAATTCTTCCTTGTCCATGGCCTCCCAGTCAACCTCGTCAAACCTGTGCAGCTCCGTCGGGGTCCCCGCCTCCAATGCTAAAAGTCCACATTGCCGGAGATCTTCCGCCTCCAAGGCAGAGTTACTTGCAGGACGAAATAGCGAGCGCAGAAAGTTTACAATGACATTTCTTTTCCCTTTTCTAATTCCAACGGATTTATTTGGCGGCTCTGCGGTCCCTTCTCTTTGATAAATGCCCGAAGAACCTCCTTGCCATCCCTGACAAAACGCATAAATTTCATAATCGTGGTTTAACTGTGCCACAAGCTCGCCATCCCCACCCTTGTCTGGGTGGTGTGACAACATTAGCGCCTTGAATACTTTCCTACACTCATCATATTCATTGAGAAATCCCCACTTACGCTGCAACTGAACAATGGCAAAATGTTGGAATGAAACGGGCATCATATTTATATCAGCTGAAGCACGGTAGTCGTCGACATCGGTATGACTTTCCCAACCACATGCCACTCTGTAATCTCGGTAGTGCTGGACAATCCGACATGTTTCAAAAGATGAAAGATCGTGCTGTGCCTCAAGTAACTGTTCAAATCGCCTTCGAGATTTCTGCTCATTCGGTGAATATCCATACTGAGCTTGCAATTGTAGACGAACAAAAACACGATCGGCATAACGCGTAATAAGTGTGCCGACACAAAGACCCAGGGTCACAGAGAGCACCGTGGCGGTGATAATCTGCCCCCCTACTGGAATAGCACTTAAACCTATGAGTGTTCCCACACCATTTCCAATAGCAATTCCAACGGCAGCCGTTCCCACCTCTTTCCCGACGCGGAGTGCCACATCTGTCAGACTTGTGCGGTAGCCCAGCGTGTTGAGTTCCCCTCGCCGATAGTCGTTGACAGCACGGAAGGATTCGTAAGCGATGAAGGCGACCGTCAACAGCGGATTGGCTACTGTACTCGAAAGAAATAGACCATCTGCAATGGTGACTCCCACCCGAGCTCCAGAGATGACCAGCCGCTTCTGCAACGGCGCGAGTGAAATAAGCGTGCCCCTTCGGGGTATGCGTGTCACCACAGACCGTGAGGTGTTGTCCCGGAGAAGTGTCGTTCGCGCCGTCGCATTTTCCTCCACGCCCTCCGCTGCCACGTCTTGCATGGCTCCAGACATTTCTATTAGACGCTTCGGCTGCCTTAAAAAAAAAAAAAAAGAGAAAAAATCAAATAAAATAAATGCGGCCTGCCCAATTGAGGGGCGCAGGCAACAAGCACTTTACCGTGCCAGTGGGGTTTAATAGAGCGGAATGGCTTCACCTCCATCGGGGAAATAAAAGAAAAATGCAAGCAAACCAAGAGAAACAACAAAAATAAAACAACGGTCAAAAATAAGAATACCAAGAACTAATGGCGCAGCCGGCCGCCTCAACCGGTTGTCAGAGTCCCGTATTCTTTTATAGAGAGGAAGCTAAAGAGCAGGGGGTGGGGGGGGAAGATAGAGGCAAAATCAACGCTGACCGAGGAGTAAAGTTTTAACCCGCTACGGGATTCCATCGATAATTGCCAACTGTACGTAGTGTAAAGCTATACGCGTCGGCAAGAATAAAAATAAAAAAGAACGCTCTCAAATCCCATCCACTTTTCGGGTTACCCCTGTCTTCGACGTTAACGTATATTTGTATATATAAATACAAAGAGAGAATGAAAATCTTTTTCCTTTGTCTCAAAAGCATCATCAAGGTAAATAGAGAGAAAATGTACGTCTGGCCAAGGCCTCGTCCCACCTTTCCTTTTACAAAGCGAGACGACACAACAGCGGGAGGCAAAAAGTCGTTTCAGTGCGACCGACATCCAGATTCTGACGAGAATTGTCCAACAGCCACACCCACGCACCGCAGTAGCCCAATGGATTCGAACGGCACATGTATGGTCCCCAAACACATTGCAAACTCACAAAGCAGCAGCATTGAACTGCCCTGCAGCCGCCGGGCTCCCTCGGCGTGGAGGGCAATAGTTAGTGGGTGGGCGGGATGACTGGCACAAAAAAAAAAAAAAAAAGTAAGGCAGCAACAAAAGAACATGAAAACATAGAGCGGTTTGAAGTTTATGACTGAGGATGAAGGAGCACAGGTATCATCACGCTCCACCTGGCGCAGCCTTGCTTCTTTTTCATTCTTACTCCCATTAACACACCCTAGTCATGAATCGTACCTCGCTTATTCTCTTGTTTCGCCTCTTCTGGATAGCACCCGCCACCACCGCCTGTATGGATGGTGAGTATGTCACCACACCTTACCGCAAGAACATTCTTCCCGCCCGCATTTCTTGCGCGGTAGACGGCGCAGCCATCAGAAGAGCGTGTTTCCTCCTCCCGCGTCCATTCTCCTCGCTTCACGTCGTGAAGCATCTCTTGTGGTGAAACAGACCAACGTGCAGCCGTGTCCTCATTAGGGACGTACACCATATTCAATCCTTTCATGCCATTGCCACCACCAAATAATCCCTTCGGCTCCAACACGCGTCGCTCAGTAAGCAGAACGGCGGTCAGATCCTGCAAGAATAAGAAGCTGCGCACCACACCATCGCCACCCTTGTATTTCCCATTTCCACCAGATCCCCGACGAATTCGAAAAAAGCGCAGAATTACGGGATAGCGTGTTTCAAGTATCTCTGGGTCAGTCATTCGTGTGTTTGTCATATGTGTATGCACTGCAGAAGTTCCATTAAACCCATCACCTGCACCACTTCCACCGCATATGGTCTCATAGTAAGCAACGTCGGAGGACCCCATAGTGAAGTTGTTCATACAGCCATGACTGCATGCTACCGCACGTAGAGCCGTAAAGATGACATCTGTTACCCGCTGACTGGTCAACACGTTCCCCGCAACCACCGGAAGTTCATCGTCAGGAGAAAGAATAGAGCCTCGTTCCAGCACAACCCTTATCGGCCTCATACAACCTTGATTGAGCGGAATATCCGCGTCAACAATACATCGAACGCAGTAGATGATAGCCGAATAAACGACCGCCGTAGGACAATTCGTAGAATTCAGAACTTGGCTGCTCGTCCCAGTAAAGTCAAAGCAAGATGACCCCGTTTCAGGGTCAATTTCAATTTTCAGACGAATCTCTGAACCGTCATCCATGTAATCCACAGAGGGGAGAGTTGTGCCATAAAGCTTTGCTACCCGCTTGAGAGCGTCTCGGGCAGAAGCTTCAGCAAAGTCCTGTATGTACCCCATGTATGCCTGAACAACTTCATATCCATAAGTTTCCATCAGTTCTTTTAACAGTTGCATACCTCGCTTATTCGCAGCTACCTGTGCGCGCAAGTCAGAAATGCTGTCTTCCAAGGTACGGCAACCCGACATTCTTGCGCATGTTCCGGGCTTCAAGAGTAATTCTCGAATACGTTCTTCCTGAAATATGCCATCTTCGATAAGTTTCACGGTTTTTATGGCTGCACCCTCCTCTTGTAAAGTCTTTGAAAAGGGTGGCATGGATCCAGGTGTCGTTCCTCCCACATCAGCATGGTGTCCTCGAGAAGCAACATAGAAAATGACTTCTCCCCTAAAGAAAAAGGGAGACATAACAGTAATATCGGGCAAATGACTACCACCGCATGCAGGATGATTACTAAGCACCATTTCCCCCTCCCGCCATTGATCTCCATAATATTCACGCTGCCATCTTATCGCCGCACCCATAGCTCCAAGGTGAACAGGAATATGCGGAGCATTTGCCACCAAATTTCCATTTTTGTCAAAAATCGCACAGCTAAAGTCCAGACGCTCCTTTATGTTTGTTGAGATGCTCGTGCGTTGCAGGGCATTTCCCATCTGTTCCGCAATGGACATAAATCGGTGAGAAAAAATAGAAAGGTGGAGCGGATGCAATGCAGTGGAGATCTTTTCAATGAGTTGCGATGTGTGAATGATAAGAGAACCGCTGTCATTAGTGTACGCTATAGAATTGGATTCCAACAGAATGCTGGTGCCTTCCCCGACAAGCACGGCAGGCCCCTCAACAGGACCATTATCTGCATTGACAATGTAGACATTTACCGTTTCCCATCCATTTGAGAGATATGTTTTCATCGTCGATATCGGCCTTGGCGCGAGTTTTACCCGAGTCGAATATGGCGGCTGATGTACCGCCGAATTTTGTTTTTGTTGTGCTATGCGAGCACGGGCCTCTTTCCCTATCTGCACGCCTCGCCCTCGGACGCGAACAGCATCAACCATGATTTCTCGCTTCATTAGGAGAAACCCAAACTGCTGCTCGTAACAATGGGTAAAATTCGCTTTTACTCGGTGCATCAAATTTCCAGCACCATCGCTCTCCCCACTTTCCACAGTCTGACCCTCACATGTACCATCTAACAGCACCATAATGCTGGTGGAAGTGCCTTCATACCGCATGCTGAGAAAATGCTCAAGGAC